ACTTTGAAGCGGTTATAAAAATATCTGATAAAGAAAGACCATTGACATGAACTGGTCAAAATCATAATCAGTATAATGATTTGAATTGATCAAGGTTATAAACATCTGTTGACATTTTAGGGACCAAAGTGTGTCGAATTTAATTAGTTAACTTTGGTTGGATAGACAGTGAGATAGATATAATACAATGTCGATAACCCAAATGGAATTTTAAAAAACACTGGCCAAACGGCTGATTAACTGGAACTATACAGAATCATCGAGACAGAACAATTAATGAGACTGTAGTGTCTGTACTTTGCCTTTTAGCCTGAGCATCTAGTTTTCAGTGACAAGTGACAATTGCTGGGTTATTTAAGTTTTAAAATTTGATATAAAAAGGTGACAAACATAACATGTCAATATTAAAAGGCTATATAAGGCAAAATAGTGAAAGAATTGAAATAGTACATTAAAATATTCATATCGCTCTGTCAAATATAGTCCATATTTTCAAAAAATATTTAAATAGAAGTTGTTTGACCTTGTTTTCGCAACTTGGTCATATTGATAGGAAGACTTAAAGAAACGTACCTAGTCCGGAGTCCATTGTATGCATAATAATTTCCAAAGTCGGACCGTGGACGTGGTACTTTCCCAGACGTTTAGCCGACATCCTAGTCGGCATCATCAGTAGGTTTTACATTCGCAGCACCACATTACAACGCGTCAGAGACAAGTTAAGCCCATCCTTTGACCAAACGTGTGCTAAACAATTATGGTATCTCCCCTTCTGCCCTGGCCTATTCACATTTCCTATATCCTCATATCACGCATTCATTGTCACAATTTTTAACTTGCTTAATTAGATGTGGTACGGTGTGCCCTTTTGAGCGGCTTACATGAGAACCCTCCGCACCCCACGCTAGCCTTCTCATCGCCCTTCATCCTTGTGTTGGGAATGTTGATCAGAGTCTGCCATATTGTTACCCAGTCCCCCTTCCCTAGGTCTTACCACAGTCTCTCTCTTGCCC